GCTGCATTAAAACGAGTGCAATAAGTTTCTAATTTGACCTAGGCTTCATGACATTTCAAAAAGTATCATCAAGAAAAAAATTATCAGACAGAAATATGTATGTCGTGTTAAAATCGGAGAGACGAAGAAAAATATATGGTTGCGTTCTCACGAGAATGGGCGATGGAGGGGCCCATTCTTTATTTTCAATATTCATACAAGAATATAAATTCATTCTGTTGCAATTGAAATAAATGTGCAATGTATCGTTAAAAGTTATTACAATTATACAAACATTTACATATATGATTAAATAAAATATATATGTATACTATAATATAATTATATATTTTATATATGTACATATATACCATATATTTCAATTATTTTGAACTGTATTGCATAAATTGTTACTTATACAAAGTTATGTGATAAGAATCGAAAATACATATATTTGTAATACTTGAATTACTAAAAAGCTGCTCTATATATCTGTACTTTAAAAAGTAAGTGATATCCTAAAAAAATCATAAAAATGAAAAGGTCAGGCCATGTTCAAAAGAAGGTACTCAAAAATTTAAACGATCTAATAATAAATTATCACGAAAAGTAACTGATATGTTATTCAAGGTGCCAGTTCAAAGTGAACATACGTAAAGTGTATATTATCTAAATTTAGTAATAATATATTACCATGAAAAGTAACTGTGATATTTTATTCAAGGTGCAAGTTCACATTGAATATACATACATATAAGTAAAACTGATTACAATTTGATTCTAGAAAATAAGTGCGATATGTTATTCTTAGTGCACAAAATATAATAGTCGTTTATAGAGATTTGATTTGAAATTCATACTAGCCCGTACAATGAAAAATAATTGCTCGTAATTCCAGAGTACCAATTTGTTAATGACTCAGAAAAATAACATGGCGGCCTGCTCTCAAAAAACTTTCGATGTGTAGAATAAATAATTGAAATAAGAGTTGTGAAAATTGTATAAATTAAAAACCTCCAATCTTTCTTTAGTAAAACGGTAGTAAACGGGTGTATATTAAGTAAAATTTATAAATGTACAGTTCTCAGGTCAACTACAATAAAGTTATACGCTTAAAAATTTACTGATTATTTGTCGTAATATACAATAAAAAATTACATATTAATTATTCAAGATACAAGTGAGAAATAAATATCATTAAAATATACAAAAAAAATTTATCAATTTGACTCTGAAAAGTAAGTGACATGGTTCTCAAAGTGCAAGGTTTCATTTGACTTACAATTTTCTTCAGAAACACAGAAGAAAAAGGTATTTGTATATAGTTTTGTATATTCACTTTGTTGTGTGTAGAGCTTTTAAAAATACGTTGAATCCTTATTCTAATCTAATCTTCTTCTAATGTAATACTTTTCGTATCTCAAATGTTGTAGTAATTATTCTGTAAGAGCTTTGACATTATTTCTAAATGGACATCGAGAAACATCATAGTTTTTTGAGAGCAGGCCGCCATGTTATTTTTCTGAGTCATTAACAAATTGGTACTCTGGAATTACGAGCAATTATTTTTCATTGTACGGGCTAGTATGAATTTCAAATCAAATCTCTATAAACGACTATTATATTTTGTGCACTAAGAATAACATATCGCACTTATTTTCTAGAATCAAATTGTAATCAGTTTTACTTATATGTATGTATATTCAATGTGAACTTGCACCTTGAATAAAATATCACAGTTACTTTTCATGGTAATATATTATTACTAAATTTAGATAATATACACTTTACGTATGTTCACTTTGAACTGGCACCTTGAATAACATATCAGTTACTTTTCGTGATAATTTATTATTAGATCGTTTAAATTTTTGAGTACCTTCTTTTGAACATGGCCTGACCTTTTCATTTTTATGATTTTTTTAGGATATATATATATATATATATGTATGTATGTATATGTATATATATACAGTCATTTTAATGTCCCACCCGAAATATTTCTGTTCGTATGTATTTTACGAAAAAATATTTCAGACAAAAGTTGTATGGCTTCGAGGGGGCCATAAGATGATACTATTGGTTTGACCTTGAAGATTCATTGGAAGATCACGTAAAGATCACTTCAATTTTTTTAAATGGAACACCCTCTATATATTTGCATATTCTTGTAGCTTACCTTGGGAGCTTTTTAAAACACTATGATAAATTATTTTTTTATTTAATGATTTTCGAATTATAATGTTTCAAAGTTGCAGTATTTTAACATAAAATACGAAAAATCTTGTAAAATATTCATTTTTCGATTATTATGCCTTATTACTTTTATAATCAGAATAATGAGACAAATCAGTTGGTATAAAGAACATGGTTGTCTTTAAAAAAAATTGTGCAACTGCTTATTGTAATTTTCATATTTTTATTAAGGCAATTATGTGTTTTCTTTACATCACCTGATTCGTCTCATTATTCTGTGCATTAATGTATAATAATACGAAAATGAATATTTTACAAGATATTTTGTATTTTATATCAAAATACTGCAACTTTAGAGCCTTATAATTCGAAAAATACTTAATATTTAAAAATAAAAAAAAAACCAATAAAACTTGTGTAATATGTGAAATATTTATATTCAATCATACATCGTTGTATTCGTTTCAAATACTACTACAACTTTTATTATATCAAAATTTATACAAAAATATATACAAAAATTCAAACAACTATAGACTTTTGTCAAGATATTCAAAATTTTATTAAAAATGGACCTTTTCATCATTTTTTTTCGATTATCAAATTCAAAACCAATCTTATAATAATAGTCTATTTAAAAAGGTTTTGTATTAAATTTTTATGATTTCGAAAAAGTGATAATATCATTAGTTTCACTTTAAATAGTTGTTGGGAAGTCATTTTTAATTTTTTAAATGAAACTATTTTGCATTTTGTTATAGTTCACCTTGAGAGCCTTTAATATATTTTTTACTATAATATAATATATATTGTTATTAAGCAATTTTTGAATTACAAAACTTGAAAATGTTTTACAAAATAATATTTGTCAAATCCTAGAAACTTTCACTTTTATAATTTGAACAGTATTTAATGGAAAAGTATTTTATTAGTGTATATGAAAACTTTCTAGGTAAACTATAATTTAATGAAAAATAATGTTTCATTTAAAAAATTGAAAGTAATTTTTATATAATCTTTAAATGAATTAATCACATTGTCTTACGTCCCCCTCAAAGATAAAACTTATACAAAATATTTTTTCTTAAAATGTTTTATTTTTAAGATAAGCAATTGCATTTTTAAAAATAATATAATAGATCTAAAATAATAACCTGTATATATAAAATTAATATGTATAATATGTAAACGTTTTTATTTACAGTTAAAACGAACGAAATATAAGAAAAATATAAGAAAGAGAAGGAAAGAAAAATAGAGAAGAAGAAAGAAAACAAAGAATATATAAATAAAAAGGAACTGAAAGAAAAATAAAAAAATATTAATTATAATTAATAAATATAATTAATAATATTATACCTATATGTATATTTTTAGTATAAATATTTCATGATTTACTGTTATTTAATAGTTACTTAATAGTTTAATATATGTTATTTAATTAATTATTTAACATGTTATTTAATATTATTTAACTTAACTTAATTTAATTTAATTTATTTATTAATAATTTAATTTAATTTAATTTATTTATTAATTAATTTAATTTAATTTAATTTAATTTGATTAATTAATTTTAATTTAATTTAATTTAATTTGATTAATTTATTTTAATTTAATTTAACTTAAAACATATAAACTAATTAATATTTATTAATTAATATCGCCTATTAATATATAATTATATTATAATATAATATATTTATACTGTACATTAATATAAATTTGTATTTATAATTATTTATAAATAAATAATGATGACAATGATGACAATGATGATAATGATGATAATGATGATGATGATGATAACAATGATGACAATGATAATAATGATTATAATGATAATGATGATGATGATTATGATTATAATGATAATAATGATGACAATAATGATGATAATGATAATCTTGATTATAATATTGATTTTAATTTTTGTATAAAAACTTTAAAGTTCACAAATTAATATTTAATAATTTAAAAGATTGAATTTTAATAGCTTATTCAAATTTTAATAATCAATCTATAATATTATTTTAATATATTTAATATATTTAATAAATTTTTGTTTATTTTTGCATTAAAAATTTCAAAAATTAAACTTTTTTAAATACCTAACTTATAAATTTTATTATTAATTTCTCTTTAATTATTATTAAATATTTAAGTAAATGTATTTTCTTATTTTAATTAGCATATAATATATTAATCTGTGTGTTCGGTATATATATATATTTATATTTTTAAACTTTATAAAATAATTAAATTTTAATAAGTTTACGATCAATTTATAAATTAATAATTTTGTTTAAATTTCAATAATTGTTAATGTTATCGCCGGGTTCGGGTTTTCTGAATGAAACTTTGCACTTGGTGTCGAATCGTAACTTTATTTCTTTTTCGATTAGCACAAGAACGCTATGTACAAGAGTGTTCTCTTTTCGCTCTCTCGATTGAGACTGCTGTGAGTACAGCGCGAGTTTTGGAGCGCGCGTAGGGCACGTTATCGTGATTGGATCCCTTAAAGTAAGGCGAGATACTTCGGCCAATTAGGCGCGAGTGATCACGAGGCTATCACGCTGTTTTTCAAATTCCATCGCGATACAATCATCCTTGAAAAGGATATTCAAACATTCTCAACGGTTTGCTCCGAAAAATAAAAAAAAATATATATTACCGTATTTCTCAACATACCGCCCGCTTTGCATTCGGGACGAATGCGAAATAAGTTAGTAATCAAGAATGAGAGCAAGCCTTGGAGAATGGTTGTTACATGAAAGAATACAAACAAGGACGAATCGCGCAAAGGTATTCGTCTCGAAATTACATTAAACTTCATTACTCAACGTATTGGACTTATCTAAATGATCATCGACGGGAAGTCGACAGACTTGCGTGATTGGTCGCTTCAAAGTAGACTGGGCGGTACGAACGGTGACAACCCGCACGTGTCCGTCAGACCCCGGATGAGTCTGCGTCACCCGCGCTAGGTCCCACTTACTCGGAGGGAGCAGCGGGTTTTTTATTATTACTAAGTCGCCCGTCGCGAGGTCTGGCATATGCTTGCGCCATTTATGGCGTTGTTGAATCGAATGCAAGTAATCTTGCGACCAAGCACGCCAAACTGTCTCTAGCATGGCGTGAACGTTCTGCCATCGTGAGCGTCTACTCGCGTCGATCGCAAGTGTCGATTCCTCCGGAACGGCTACAAGCGGCCGTCCTATCAAGAAGTGACCCGGAGTGAGCGCCGACACGTCACTCGGGTCATCGCTGAGCGCAGCGATGGGTCGCGAGTTTAGGCAAGCTTCGATCTTGCACAAAAGCGTAGCGAGTTCAGCCCGCGATAGAGTATGAGACCCAACGGCTCGCTTCAAGTGCGTCTTGAAGCTCTTGACCCCGGCCTCCCAAAGACCGCCGAAGTGCGGAGCAGCGGAGGGAATGAAGTGCCAGGCCACTCCGTCATTGGCGATCGCGCTCTGTAAATCAGGATCTCCGATAACGGAGGCAAAGTGTCTCGTAAGTTCGGAGTCGGCACCACGAAAATTGGTGCCGTTGTCGCTATAGAGATGACGAGGTGATCCTCGCCGACTGGCAAATCGATGAAAGGCGGCTAGAAAACTGGGCGTGGAGTAATCTTCCACCATCTCGAGGTGGATCGCTTTAGTGGCGAGGCAAACGAACAGAGCAATATACACCTTCCGAGCACGTTGTCCTCGACCTACGAAGGGAGTTACGTGGAGAGGGCCAGCGTAATCCACTCCGCAGTGAGTAAACGGAGCGGAAGGAGTGACTCGAGCCACGGGGAGGTCTCCCATGTACTGAGTAGACAATCGAGCGGAGTGTCGCGCGCAAATGACACATTTCCGAAGATGCGCCTTTACGGAGTTGCGGCCGCTTAAAAGCCAAAACCGCTGACGCAGTGTGCGCAGTACCAGTTGCACTCCTCCGTGGAGAGTGACGGTGTGAGCTTGCGCAATCAGGAGATTGGTTATGTGGTGTTTCGGAAGGATAATCGGGTGTCGCTCGTCATAACCGAGCGCTGAGTTTTTCAACCGCCCGCCAAGGCGGATTAAACAGTCTGTTCCCAGGAAAGGATTCAGTCCACGCAGAGGGCTTGAGTGTGGCAGAGTTCTTTTATTTTTTAATGATCGCAATTCTCGCTCGAAGAATTTCCGTTGTAAATAGTTAAACCAGAATATCTCCGCCTTCCTGAGCTCGTCGGCGCTCAGAAAGGCGGGAAGATCGTGGCGAGAATCACCTTTTCCTCTTGTTCGTAGTACGAATCTGTAAACGTAGGCGGTTACTCGGATGAGCTTCGTCCAGCGGGAGAACTTGCGTGGAAGTTCCCACTCAGCGGACTCTTGTACGTGGAGCGTCACATATTTTTTCCTCTCCGTCGACACTTGCAATTCGGTTGTAGAATCGAACGGAGTAGAAATGTCAAGAGTTGGCCAGGAAGTCGGTGGCTGATGAAGCCATCGAGGGCCAGTCCACCATAACGGGTGGACAACTAGTTCGGAAGCAGACAAACCGCGCGAGGCGCAATCTGCCGGATTGTCGCCTGAAGGGACGTGATTCCAGCGAGCGGAAGCCAGAGTCGTTTGCACTTCCGACACGCGGTTGGCAACATAAGTATTCCATTTAGATGGATGTTGACGAAGCCACGCAAGGGCGATGGTAGAATCCGTCCATCCGTAGACGGGAATCGGGGGCAAAGCCAGGGCGGTCAAGGTCCATTTGATTAGGCGACTGAGCAAGACGACGGCGTTCAATTCTAATCGCGGGATGCTCACGGTCTTGATCGGCGCGACTTTAGTTTTAGCGGCCAACAAGCTGATTTGAAATCTGGTCGGCGCGTGAATAACGCGAATGTATATTACGCCCGCATAAGCTCGATTTGATGCGTCCGCGAACCCGTGTATTTCTAACGCGAGATTCTCGCAATGTTTACCGGTCCAACGAGGTATCCGAACAAGATTTAACGATTGCAAGTCCCTGGAGTAACTCTCCCATCGTTCGCGTAACTCGTCAGGGAGAGGCGTATCCCAGTCGTACTTGAGAAGCCATAACTCTTGTAACAGAATTTTAGAGGTTACAACGAACGGAGCCGCCCAACCGAGCGGGTCGTACAACTTAGCCGTGAAAGAGAGAATTGAGCGCTTCGTTGGATTGACCGTTTTCGGAGGTGTGACCACGAATTGAAACGAGTCGTCCTGCGAGTGCCACGAAAGACCTAGGACCTTGAGAGTATCCTCTTTTACTAACAAGTGATTTTTCACTTCCGGCTGATGAGCCGAGAGCCCCTGAAGAAGGGAGAGGGAGTTGGATGCCCATTTACGGAGCTGAAATCCACCCTTTCTTAGTATTTCCACCAGTTGTATACGAGCCTCAATTAACGAGGCCTCGTCGTCCGCGCCGAAAAGCGCGTCGTCCACATAAAAGGACTCGCGCAGAATTGAAACGGCAGCGGGATAGAGAGCTCCTTCATCAATGGAGAGCTGCCTCAGGACTCTCATCGCAAGGTACGGGGCTGGGGCCAGCCCGTACGTCACCGTGAGAAGTCGGTAGCGTTCGATCGGCGAGTCAGCCGACGAACGCCAAAGAATCCTCTGAAAGTCCGTGTCAGACGGATGCACGAGGATCTGGCGGAACATCTGAGCAATATCCGCAGTGTAGACCAGGCGCCACTGCCGCCAGCGCAACAGTATCGCGGGGAGATCTTGTTGCAACCTCGGACCGATCAACAGATGATCGTTGAGAGAGGAGTTGTTGCTCGTGTTGCAAGAGGCGTTGAAAACAACGCGTAAGTTAGTGGTACAGCTCGAATCACGCAAGACAGGGTGATGCGATATGTATACGGGTTTGAACTCGGAATGCTCAGAGTCCTCCACCTTTGTCATATGCCCGAGAGCGCGATATTCTTTTAAAAACTCATTATACTGAGCTTGAAGCTCAGGTTGACGTCGTAACCTGCTCTCCATTTTATAGTACAGCGAAGTTGTAATTGATAAAGAATCACCGATTTCTATCGGGAGATCATGCTTAAATGGCAATCGGACGGTATAACGTCCCTGCGAATTCCGGTAATGATTCGCAACGAAGTGAGCTTCGCACCTCTCCTCCTCTTCAGTGAGGGGTAAAGGGTGAGGAATTTCCTCCTCTTCCCAGAATTTCTGGAGAAGCAAGTGGATGTCCTGATTAGACACGCAGTTCAATACGGAGGCTTCAGCAGAAGCGGTGGACCTACTAGTCGTAGGGCCAGAGAGTACCCAACCAAGAGCGGTCAATTGAGCGGTCGGAGTACCGATAGGACCTTGACGGATATCGCGCAGCAAAAGTGAGCCGTAAAGGTCAGCACCGATCAATAAGTGAATTTGGTGGTGACTCGAAGGATCAGGATCCGCAAAGGAGAGACCCTGTAAATGTGGCCACGTTTCGAACGGCTGAACTTGCGACGCGGCATACGAAGTAATGCGTTGATATACGTAAGCTTCCAGAGGAAAGCTCGGATCAGCTTTCGAACGCGGGGTTAATCGAAGCGTTAATCGTGACTTAGCAGTACCGGTGAATTTTTCGCCGAAACATTTAATTTGCAAATTGGCTCGTTGCCGTTTAGTGCGCAAAGCTTGTGAAAGCGACTCCGAGATAAAACTGAAAGTGGATCCTTGATCCAGCAGCGCACGTACTTTCAAACATCGACCCTCTTCTGTGTGGAGGTCGACCCACGCCGTGGCCAAAAGAACGTTGGGAGGTCGATCGAGCGAGGGTGGTACCGTCTGGACGCTCGCAACTGGCGGTACCTTCGGCGGAACTAGCGAGTCGTTAGAGACGCTCGAGGCGGACTCAGAGGTAGTCGCCGCGGAAGCCTCTGTACTGACAGAGGCGCCATAGTACGCGGAATGCAACAGTGTATGATGCATGCGACTACACTGTCTGCATCGAAATTTACTCGGGCATTTCGTCGGAAAGTGCCCGGGCTTTAAGCAATTAAAACAAATCTTATGTTGACGGGCAAAAGCACAACGCTGTGAAGCAGATTTTTTAATAAACGTTTCGCATCTCGCAACTGGATGCTCGCCGGAGCAGCAAATACATTTGGCGACGGTCACGCTATTGACTGACGAACGCGGCTTATCGTGTTTCGCGGAGCCGGCGTCTGTGCTCGCATCCGAAAAGTCAGATAGTCCGCGAATGCGAAGCGTTAAGAATTCACTGAGTTCCTGATAAGTAGGGAGCTCGTCGCGTTTCGTTCGCTTCAGATTCCACTCTGTACGCGTTTTCGCGCTAAACTTTTGCGTGATTATATATATAAGAACGTCGTCCCATTGCTCTACCGGACGACCGAGGTTATTTAACGCGGCTAATGATGCAGACACTGTGTCGCGTAACTTGCGAAGATCGCTTACATTTTCGGATCTCATCACCGGAAAATTAAAAAATGCATGCAGATGCGAGTAAATTAACGCTTGTTTATCATCGTACTCGTTTGTTAGCAATTGCCAGGCCGACTCATAATTTGCATCCGAAATCTTTAAATTATTGATTAACAGTGAAGCATCTCCGGTTACGCTCGTTTTTAAATAATGAAATTTCTGGGAATTTGAAAGAGCGTCGTTGTTTGCTACGAGAGACTCGAAAATATTGCGAAAGTTTTCCCAATCAGTCAATTTACCGGCAAACTTCGGGAGCGTGATGCGTGGCAATTGAAAACAATGATTGTTAGGTTCGCGAACGGAGGAATCGAGACTACGATCGTTAAGCGCGATTTGAGTTGGTGTAAATCGACTTATCGTTTCATGAAGGAGATCGGCCACATCGTTGTAGACATCCTCAGCTGCGAGAAACTCGTCCTTCTCGAAGTACGATAAGGCCTTCTTCTGCTCCGGCGTTGCCATCTGAAGAAGCTTGACGTGGAGGGAGCGGCAAGCGCCCCAGATTTCCGCCGCAGTGGCAAGACGACCTCGCGTTTTGGCGAGGGTCACGTTCGGCTTGGCTAGCTTTTTGAAATTGACGAGGACTCTTTTGAGCGAGCTAATGTTTTCACTCTGCTCGATGAGCAGATCGTTCACGGTGGTCGACATCATAGTCTCGATGCCGAATATGTGAGCTATTATTTTATCACTCACGGGAGCAGAAGGCGCGCGCGTCTGCTCGGCGAGGAAAAATTCCTCGGCTCGAAGCGCGAGCGTGAGAGAAAGAGTTAATTTTTAGCGCGATTTGGCGTCGTCACGACGGCCGTTAGTGGCTATCCTTGTCACTTAGAGCAAAGTACACATAATGGTGCGGTGGTGATAGCAAAACGCGTTTTAGCGAAGTCACACTTGAAATCACGCACCTTTATTGTAGTTTAGGAATGTCGAGATTCGACGAAAGTTGACAAGAGTCAAGGAGAGAAGCAGGAGGCGGGCGCTTTATAGTTGCGCGCACGACGTCCTGCGCCTGGTACTGCAGGCATGCAGAAAGTTTCTTAAATTAATGCCCAGGAATTGTTTTGATTCACTGGCTCGTAGCGCGTGATAGCGGCTCACAATTAATGAGAGTCACCTTTAAACGATGAGAGTCACTGTGTGTAACGACTTGCTAAGCGCGTGATTGCGGCGCGCGCGCGGGTTACTTGCAACAATGTTCACTGTCACCCGCGGTGTTAGAGAATTCCATCACTGGCACGTGATCGCGGCACCGGAGATGAGAGTCACTGGGCACGGGTAGCGGAGTACACGTGCAGTTGCTATTCTCGAACGGCATTTAACTGCCGTCCGAAGGGCAAAATTGCAAAGCGCGTGATAGCGGCGCTTGTACTGCAAAAATGTTGGTCTTTGGGAGAGAGCCGCAGCAAGAGAGAGATAGAGAGAGAGAGAGCGCGTCGGAACGCGCGGCGTTGCGCTGTCTCTCTCGCTCCACGCGTCGTCGTGAGAGAGCGAGAGAGAGAGAGAGAGAGAGACTGTCTCTGAGCGCGCGACAGCTGGTCGTGTAGCGCGGTCTCACTCTCGCACACAGAGCTCCGCAACGAACGAGAACGCGTTAAACGTCCGATCACAAAGGCTTCCGGAACACTGGGAAATTGTCCGAAACTCTCGGGTTGATTCACGCGTGATTGAGAACAAGGTCGCAGTTTCATCCGATTAATTTCACGAATCCGGCTCGAAGGACCAATTTTGTATGTTAATGTTATCGCCGGGTTCGGGTTTTCTGAATGAAACTTTGCACTTGGTGTCGAATCGTAACTTTATTTCTTTTTCGATTAGCACAAGAACGCTATGTACAAGAGTGTTCTCTTTTCGCTCTCTCGATTGAGACTGCTGTGAGTACAGCGCGAGTTTTGGAGCGCGCGTAGGGCACGTTATCGTGATTGGATCCCTTAAAGTAAGGCGAGATACTTCGGCCAATTAGGCGCGAGTGATCACGAGGCTATCACGCTGTTTTTCAAATTCCATCGCGATACAATCATCCTTGAAAAGGATATTCAAACATTCTCAACGGTTTGCTCCGAAAAATAAAAAAAAATATATATTACCGTATTTCTCAACAATAATATATATACTTTTCACGGAAAACATACGTGTGTATATATATATATATATATATATATATTTATATATTATTACTTTTATAAAATGCCGAAACGCAAAATACAGCATAGTTTAGAAGAAGAAGAGGAGTTACAACGACAACGTTCTAAAAAAAAAGCAGAAAATCAATATCGTCGTAATCAAATTATAAAAGCATTAAATAATGTAACAAAATCAGTTAATCGTAATATTTGTGTTGCTGGTACATCACGTGATAATCATATAATAATAGATTTAGATGAAGAACAAAGTTTTAAAAATCTTAAATCAGTGTGTCAACAATCTTTTGCAGAACGTCAATCTTATTATCGATCACGGCAAAAAAATCAACCTCGTTTAAATAATGATGATATAATATTAATTAATAATATTGTTGAATATTATATTGGTTCTATGGATGTATCTTGTATTCATTGCAATGCAAAACATTTTGCGTCTGAAAAAATATCTAATAGAGGAAGCTCCTTTCATGACTGTTGTAATCATGGTGCAGTATATTTACAACCATTACCTGAATTTCCACAATTAATTCGTGATTTATTTGATGGGACTCATGTAAAATCTAATGATTTTTTTCAACATATTCGTAGTTATAATAGTTCATTTTCGTTTGCATCATTTAACGCTAATTTAAAGAATTTTCAAAATAGACGACCTGGTCCATATTGTTTCAAGATACAGGGACAGATATATTATCAAGTTAATACAGCATTATACGCTGCACAAAATGAAAGTCCTACTTATGGTCAACTTTTTATTGTGGATGCAAATAAAGCAATAGAGCATCGTCTTAATAAAAATTCATATTTAGATTTTAAAATTGTACAAAATCTTGAATATATAATGCGAGAAATTAATGTATTTTCTCAGTGTTATCAAATGATGGGTGAGGAATTAGAAAATCAACGACGTTTAGAAATGGAATCTGGTAAATTGTTACCGGAATTACAATTATCATTTATTTTAAGACCAGGTATGGATCGACGTCGATATAATGCTCAAAGAACTAATGAAGTTGCTGCTATTTTTTGTATAACTGCTGATGGGGAAATTCCAGAATCGTACGTTACAATACGTAATAGAAATACTAAAACTTTACAAAAAGTTAGTATTATGGATCCAAATGTTGAACCATGGGTATATCCATTGTTTTATCCATATGGTACTCAAGGATGGCATCGTGATTTAAAAAAATTAAATAGTGATAGACGAATAACTAGAGGACAATATATTAAATATCGTATGGCTATTCGTGATGAATTTAACGTTTTTTTACTAGGACGTCGCTTATTTCAGCAGTGGCTTGTAGATAGTTATGTTAAAATGGAAAAAGATAGAATTGATTATTGTAAAAATCATCAAAAAGAATTACGCAGTGAAACATATCAAGGTTTAAAAGACTACTTACAAACTACGGCGAATAACTTGAATGGTCGTATTGGAAAAATGATTATTCTTCCTTCAACATTTATTGGATCGCCGCGTAATATGTTACAAAATTATCAAGATGCAATGGCAATAGTTAGTAAATTTGGTAAACCAGACTTTTTCATTACCATGACTTGTAATCCAAAATGGCGAGAAATCGAGGAAAACCTTTTACCTGGTCAACAAGCTTCTGATAGACCTGATATTTGTGCTCGTGTATTCAATATAAAAAAGGACTATTTAATTGATTTAATCGTTAAACAAAAATTTTTTGGTGAAGTAGCAGCGTTTGTGTATGTTATTGAATTCCAAAAACGTGGTTTACCACATATTCATATGTTAATTACTTTAAAATACAATTTTAAAATAACAACTCCACAAATTGTTGATAAATATATTTCTGCTGAAATTCCGAATCCATGCGAGAATCGTATTTTACATGATATAGTTATGAGACATATGATTCATGGACCTTGTGGTGATTGGTGTTTGGTAGATGGATGTTGTTCGAAACATTATCCAAAACCTTTTCTTGAAGAAACTAGAATGGATGAAAATGCTTATCCTTATTATCGTCGCCGAGATAATGGTAAAAATTTCGAACGTCCTGGCGGATATATAGTCGATAATCGTTATGTTGTTCCATATTGTCCTACTTTATCGATTATATTTAATAGTCATATTAATGTTGAAGTAGTTTCAAGTATAAAATCATTTAAATATCTGTATAAATATATATATAAAGGACATGATGTTGCTGCCGTAACTATTGAACCAATAACAGAAAATGTAATTATTGATCATGATGAAATACATAATTATATCGAAGCTCGTTATGTTGGACCTGTGGAAGCCAGTTGGCGTATTCTTGGTAAGAAGTTACAAGATAAAAGTCACGCTATAATGCGATTGCCAGTCCATCTTCCTAATGAACAAAATATTATAATTGAAAATGAAAATATTGATGACGTTATGATTTCTGCTTTAAATCAGGTTACTATGTTGATAGATTATTTCTCATTGAACATACGCGATGAGGAAGCAAGACAATATCTATACATAGAAATTCCACAACATTATACATTTAAAAAGGAGAAAATTAATGGCATAAATGTATCGCGTTGGGCTAAACGTAAAAGTCATTATAATTGTGTAGGACGAATGTATTCCGTTAGTCCAACACAAACAGAATTATTTCATTTACGATTATTATTACTCACAGTAAAGGGAGTTACAAGTTTTAACGACTTAAAAACTGTAAATGGAGAATTGTGTCAATCATTTTCAGCAGCATGTTTGGCTTTAGGTCTGATCGAAGATGATGATGAATGGATACGAGCTATGAATGAAGCTGTTGAATGGATGATGCCACGACAACTTCGTAGATTATTTGTACGTATATTATTACATTGTCAGCCATTACATCCTGAAGAATTATGGGAAAATTTTAAAGTAGCAATGTCTGAAGATTACGTTCGACATTTTGGTATATTACAAGGACAAAATAAAACATATATTCAAATCAATGCTTCAGACTGAAGGTAAAAGTCTTGCTGATTTTCCACAAATGGAACAATTAAATGAATATGAAGAAGAAGAGGATTATATGACATTTGAAAAAATCATGGAAGTAGGTAATAACCAATACAAACAATTAAATGATAAACAAAAAGAGATAATCGATATTATATTAAATAGATTTAACAATAATAATAATAATAATAACTGTTTTTATATTGATGGTCCTGGAGGATCAGGTAAAACATTTGTATGTACAACTATCTATCATTTAGCTAGAATTAAAAATAAACGCGTGTGTACAATGGCTTTTACTGGTATTGCAGCGACTTTACTTCCTAATGGAAGGACAGTTCATAAGATATTTGGATTGCTCGTTCCATTATTTGTTGATTCATCATCTTCCATTAAAATCCAATCAAAAGCAGCTCAATATTTAAAAGAAACTGATATTTTTATTTGGGATGAAGCACCAATGGCACCACGATATGCTTTAGAAATTATGGATCGAACATTGCGTGATATTATGAATAATGACTTTCCTTTTGGCGGAAAAATTGTTTTAT